TGTTTGCAGTGAGGTGTGCTGCAGGAGCTGTGCCATGCCCCTGCCGGGCCTTTGTAAATCACCAGGCCACTGAACTCTGTCTGGGTACCATGCCCAGCTTGTACCAGAGGCTCTCAGGGACTTTAGACCTCATGAAAGGCTCCTTCCCATGGGACGCAGGGCATTTGATTTCCTTTAGCTGGAATCTTACTCTGTGATATCAGAGTCCACCAGGCGGCACTCAGAGTGTACCGGGCTTTTCATGACATCTCCAAAACCCCCTCTGAACAACTCTCTCTATTGGTTTATAAAACCACTGAAGCAAATCAGCTTGCAAACGACCCTGGCAGTTCACTGGATTTCACTGAGTCAGGGCTATGAATTTGGTTATTGACTTTTCCTCACTCACACTTTATGGGAGGCATGAAAACAGCCCCTGCAACTTGATCTTAAAACGTTCACATTTGACAGTTGGTGGCTCTTGTCAGAATAGAAGCCTCTTCATGTGCCCAGGAGGCCACACTGGCATTTTGGAAACCTGAACTTTTGATTAATTGCACAGTAATGAATTCACCCATCTTCTTTCTACGTGATCCTTGACACCAGTCTCTGATGCCCACCTAGTGAGACTTTTTAAGTTCTGTCGGAATGTTTTTGTCACCAAGTTCCTGAGGTTGCAAGAATTACTAACTTCCTCAGAATAAACACTCACAACAAAAATCTCATATAAAGACATAAAGTGAATGTTCTGGGGGTTTTGCATCCTGCATTCATTTCTTCTTTATTCATGCAGTGACGGGTCCTGAAAGCCTACTATGTACCAGGCATCCTTCTAGGCTACAGGGAGAGGCTGCTAAGTTCCTGGAACTCTGGCTTAGTGGGAAGTAGGAACAAGTGAACAGAGTGATAAATCTACCCAATAAGTAAACTGGGAGTGGGTGGAGGGGGAAGGGTGACTTTGGAAAAGGAGCTCGCTCACATATGAAGGGCAGACTTGCTTCCTAGGGAAATGGAATTGGGCTGGGATAGGAAGCACATGTATGTGTTGCTGTGTTGGGGGTGGAGGGCTAACTTTGGGGTGCCCAGCTTCCATTGGGAGCTTTTCAAATCCATGTGATTTGGGCTTTTGCTCCCTTCTGGAGTTTGCACTGAGTGACTATACTCCAGCTTATAGCTGAACAATAATATATATATATATATATATATATATATATATATATATATATATATATATATATATATAAAAGGCTACTATGCTAAATGTCTGACCTTCCAACTGGTCACTATGACACACACTGACCACCAGGAGCTGCCGTGATGCGCACTGGCCATTTACAGAGAAAGGGAACCATGGACCTGGAACCCACAAAGCAACACTCATCTTCCCCAAGTGGGACATAGGCCCCGCCACCACCCCAGAGTGGCAGCCCACCAAATTGCAGCCAATGCTGCTGAGACCCCACACTGCAAAATGCGGCCCACAGCCCAGCCTGAAAATGTGGCTGTGGGTGCTGGGTAATGACATTACATAGCAACACCTGGCTTCCTCTCCCCAGTGACAGCTAGCCTCCTTGCAGTTTCTTCAGCCCAGGAACACGACTTGCTTTACAGCCAGGTGCAAACATTTCACACTAACTATCTGTGAAGCGTTTTTCCATGTCTCATCTTATTTGATCTTCACAGAAGTCCTGGAGTAGGTAGATAGGAGACTCGGTAGCTTAGCAAGTCATTAGCAAGACAGTGGAGATTTAGAAAGTTTAGAAACTTGACTCGACTGAAAAGAAGTAAGAAATGGTGGACCTTGAAAATGACTTCAGGTTTTCTCACTGTGCAGAATATAGTCTAACACTGCTGCAGTTAAATATCTTACCCTTTGTTCTCCCTGCATCATCTACAATAATAATCTGCTTGGTGTTGATAATTACTGCTGTGTTGCTGACAATTTCCTGAAAGCAAAGTTGGGGTGCTTCACTAGGCTGGAAAAAGTTTAGCTAAATCAGAAAGCAGGTCTAATTAAGCAAGTTTAATATATATATATATATATATATAGTTAAGTTGACTTGTGCATACATGATACATATAAAGCTCTCACTGGCGCCAGTCACACCTGTGTTTTTCAATTTGTCATTGTCGGATGTGAGGGCGATCTGGCTGCGACATCTGTCACCCCATTGATCACCAGGGTTGATTCGGCTGATCTGGCTGGCTAGGCGGGTGTCCCCCTCCTCCCTCACCGATCCATGTGCGTCCCTCCCGAAGCTGCGCGCTCGGTCAAAGAGGACGACTTTCCCCCAAGAGGAGAGGACCGGTCTTCGGTCAAGGGTATACGAGTAGCTGCGCTCCCCTGCTAGAACCTCCAAACAAGCTCTCAATTTGTCATTGTCGATCATGAATTTGGCTGACACTGCTATTATAAAGAAAGGTGAATGGTGGTATTAGAATATTTCCTCTAATTATTTTCCTTCCAATGTGCATGAATTGGTGCACCAGGTCACTAGTCTATCCATAACATTTACAGGGTCCTACTGCATGTAGAGCATTGTGCTGTTTATTGCCTGTAATCCTCACAAATCCACACAGCAGCCCGCTGACGAATGGATAACCTTTCTTCATCAGGTTGTTATGATTCTCCTTATTTTATTAAGTTCTCAGACACTTTCTGGGCAAGCTTTTCTGTTGCACCAAGCAATTTATTTGGGGGCCAATATGACCCCGTTTTAATTATTTTAGCCTTGTAGTATAGTTTAAGTTCTTTTTATAAAATTTTTATTTTTTATTGACTACAGAGAGGAAGGGAGAGGGAGAGAGAGATAAAAATATCAGTGATGAGAGAGAGAGTCATTGATTGATGCCTTCTGCATGCCCCTGCAACCCTGGCATGTGCCTGACCAGGAATCCAACCATGACCTCCTGGTTCATAGTTTGATGCTCAACCACTGAGCCACACCAGCTGGGCTGGCTCCCTTCTTGGAACCCCTAGCTGAGTTTCTCCCCTCTGACACTTGTCCCCATCCCAACTTAAACTTTCCCCTTCCCTCCCCATCCCCTCATCTCTCCTCCCTCTCCTTTTTCTCCTCCCTCGCCTCTCCTTCCCTTCTCTTTTACCCTCCGTGGCTAACTTCTTTAGGCAAACCCAGGCCCTCTGACCACTCCTTTCTTATGTGCTACGATAGATTCTTGGCTTGGCCCTGCTCATGGCCCTCTCCTCCGCCCAACCTTCAGACCGAGGGGAGAGGGTGGGAAGTAAAGGCATCTCTGCACTGCAGGAATGGAAGCTTTCCCTAACCACTCAGTGCCATGGTGGGAGGGAGGGAGAATTAGGCCCCATCTACTGGACCCTCGGGTCCCTTGCTTGTGGTTTACAAGATCCAGCCCCAACGCCCTGTGGCCCCACCTTCCTCTGCTCTTTGCTGTTCCATAAGCTCAAGGGACGCCTCACTCACCTGTGCGCTTGTCCTCTGGCCTCCAGGAGGGCTCTGCTGGACATTCACATCCCTGATCCAGCTGGTCATTTAGGCCGTCCCTTAAAATGTCACCTCTGCCACCAAAACTGGTTTGGCTCAGTGGATAGAGCATTGGCCTGGGGACTGAGGGGTCCCAGGTTCGATTCCCTTTAGAGGCATGTGCCTTGGTTGTGGGCACATCCCCAGTGAGGGGGGGGGGGATGCAGGAGGCGGCTGGTTGATGTTTTTCTCTTATCATTTCTGGCTCTCTATTTTCTCCTTTCCTCTCTGTGAAAAATCAATAAAAAATATATTTTAAAATGTCACCTCCGCCATGAGCCCTCTGAGGATGACAGATCCGTATACAGAAGCTCCCATGTCCAGCATGACACCGGTTTGTCCCCTCACAGCATTTGCCCACAGCGGCAGTCATCTGGCTTCTGTTTGTTTTTCTGTCCCTGCTTCCACCTTTCCCTGGGAAACACGCGGTGTGGGCGCAGGAACCTCCCAGGACCTGGTCAGGGGGCACTGCCCACCGGGTAGAAGCTGGCGCCTGAAGGTTTAGTCATTGATTCTGTGAATGAGAACAGAAACTCGGGCAGCACCGGGAAGGAGGGCCAGGAGCATTCGCTAGGAGCTAAGGGAGAAGCCAGGATTCGGATTCCGTGCTCTGCCCAGTCCCCAGCCCTTGGTTCGCCCAGGCTGGCAGAGAGGGGGCTGGCCCAGGGCCCAGGGCCCAAGGCCCAGGGAGGCGAGCGCCCAACCGTGAACCACGAACTCAAGGGAACCACGGTGTGGGGGGCTTCGCGGTGCTCTCGGCCTGGGCCAGCCAGCAGCTTAGATTTTACTCGGGAAGCGCAGACCCGGGTTGGGAGGTGACAGAAGGAGCGGTGCCCGGAGGAGCAGAGGGAGACCCGCTCCCGCGTCCTCCCCTTCGCCGGGGAGAGCCCGGCGCCCACGGGAGCGCGGAGAGGCCCGGGCGGGGGGCCGCGGGGCGCAGGGTTGGGGGCCGCGGGAGGCGGGGCGCCGGCGGGCGGGACGAGGCGGCCCCACCCCGCGGGGCGAGGCGGGCGGGAGGCGGCGGCTCGGCGGCCGGTGCGGCGGGGGCTGGAGCGGCGGGAAGGAAGGGGGCGGTGGGAGCGGAGGCGGGAGGAGGCGGCGGCGGGCGGGCGGCTGGCACCGGCTGGTAAATACACTGCGATGCAGCCTCGGGCTCGCCGGCCTGGGTGCCGCCGCCGCCGCCGCCCGGGAGCGCGGATGCCAGGCTCCCGCCGCCGCCGCGCGCCCTAGCGCCCCGGGCAGCCCCGCGCCCGCCCGCGCCCTCCTCCCCGCGGCCTCCCGCCCGCGCCCCCCGGGGTCCCGCCGCTGACCCGCGAGGGATGTGACCGCCCTGCACCCGCCCGGCCTCCCCCGACCTCCGGGGGGCCCGCCTGTGCCTGCTTTCGGGGCGGTGGGCGGGGAGGGGCGCGCGGATCATGGCATTGGGGCTCCCGGGCTTGCAGCCGCCGCCGCCGCCGCCCGGTCCGCGCAGCCCGAGCGCCCCCTCTTCCCGGAGCAGCAGCGGAGGCGGCGCGGCCGATGGGGCTCAAGGCGCGCAGGGCGGCGGGGGCGGCGGGCGGCGGCGGCGGCGGGGGCGGCGGAGGCGGCGGGGCCGCTAGCCCGGCGGCCGGGGGGGACCCCCCGGCGGGAGGGGACCCCGCGGCCGGCGAGGAGGAGCGGCGAGCGGGGCCGGCGCCGGGCGAGGCGGAGCACGTCGCCGTGGCGCTGGGGGCCGGCGCGGACCGAGACGGGACGCGGCTGCTGGAGGGCGGCGGCCGCGGCGAGGGGCCCCGGAGGACCCCGCAGGGCCTCGGGCTCCTGGCCAGGACCCCCCTGAGCCGCCCGGCGAAGAGGAACCACGCCAAGTGCCGGCGCCTCCAAACTTTGATCTACGACGCCCTGGAGAGGCCGCGGGGCTGGGCGCTGCTCTACCACGCGCTCGTGTGAGTACCTGGCGTTTCGGGGCGCCCCTGGGCGCAGGTGGGGATTTGGGGCGCCCCTGGGTTGGGGTTCGGGGCGCAGGCCTGAGAGGAGCACTCCCTCCGGGGCTTGGCATGGCATTGGAGACCAGCCGGCCCCCCAGCGCGCGCGCCTCTGCCGGTCTGGGCTGTGCCCGTTAACCGCTCTCAGGTGTCCGACCCCGAGGCTTGAAAAAAGGTCCAAGCGCGGTCGGTCCCTCAGACCATTGGGAGATTGGATCGGTGTGTTTGCGCATCGGGGACACCTTCTCCGGAGGCTGGTGGTACCAGGCTGGAGAGAATGATGTGATTGTTTTCCCGGGAAGGTGGGGGGTGAGCAGGATGAAGCGGCTCCTCTCTTGTCCGCTGCTGGGTTGCTTGGGGCGGGTCCCTCCTCTGGGGATCGCTGCTGAGTTTGGAGGACGCGTCCCGGAGTTGGGGTGGGAGTTGCCCACGTGGTGTGTGTGTGTGTGTGTGTGTGTGTGTGTGTGTGTGTGAGTGTGTGTGTGTGTGTTGCTTGCCTGGGCTCCCCTTCCCAGGGCTGCATCCTGGTCCAGAGCGGGTCCTGGCGTTGCCATGACTGGGGACTTGGACTGGTCACAGAGCATGCCTCTGAGTTCCTTTTAGGGAGGCTAATGGGGGAGAGAGTGTGTCTCTCAGGCTCCATGCCTGCACTGAGAGGCTGGGGCTTACCAATGCCAGAGGGGGGTGGGGGAGCGCCCTGAGGCTTATTTTGGCTAAAACATCTCGTGACTTGGTCCTGAACCCCCCCCTCCCCCCTGCCTCCAGGACTGCCCGTTCTCCTGCTTTGGCCGGGCAGGAACACGGTGGAGGTGTGTGTGGAGGGGCCTGGGCTGGAGGTGTGCCCCTGGGAAAAGTCTCCCCGCCATCAGGAGGTAAATGCCTGTGCACCCCACACGCTGGATGGAACATCTTCCCATGTTTGGGGAGAGGGAGAGGGTGGGAGAGGTGGCCCCTCCCCCAGGAGGGGAGATCAGGGCTGCAGGCTGACACCTCTGGGCCGGCTCATCACCCCTCACCTCCCCTTACCTCCTGTTTGTGGCTTAGTCATCCTGATGGCTGCTTCTTACGAGGCCGTACCTTCCTGGGTGGAGCACTGGCCGTGCCCTTGACCCCTGATAAGCGTTTAGCTTTGGCCATTCCTCTCTGCCCTCCTCCATGATTGATGGGGCCCCGAGGGAGTTCAGAAAGCCTCGGAGTTACACCACCTGCCAGTCTTCCTGGGTTGGGATGCTTTCCCAGACTTGGCCGCCAGGTGGGGTTGTTGGCACAGAACCTCTGGGCTGGCAACAGGTTTCTTCAGAGAGGTTACTGGAGCCCGGACAGGTGGCCTCTCTGGGAGCTGAGGTACCAGCAGGAAGGAGGGGGCATCCAGCCAGGAGCTGGGTGTAGGGTGGCCTAGCCTTTGGTGTCCTTATGTATTTGCAGGTTTAAGAGGTGGAGAGAAGGGTTAGCAGCTAATTGCTTTTTCCATTTGCTTTCTTCAGGTGGTAAAAAGGGATTAAAAATGCATTCATCTCGCTGTCTCTCACACTGGATTTAGTGAAATTGAACCGCAGTTAACACTGGAATGTGTGATAATAAAAAGGCACGAGTTATTTGAGTGCACATAAACATACAGATTCAGATGACTCAAATGTTCTTTTGAACGTAAATGGGGTTCAGAACTTACTGGATGACTTACAAACGGGGGTGGGGGGTCCCCTGGAGCTTGTGGGTTTAGTCTTTTTCTTCCACCATTTCCAGCCACACCCCAGGCCTGCCTTGCTCAGACAGGGGAAGGGATAGCTGAGGCCTGTGGTTGTGAGTCTAGATAAGCCTTCTCTAGAATTATCCATCACCCAGAAGCAGGTATGAGAAGGCCAACACCTGTAGCCTCAGTTTTCCAGAAGGTTCCAGGAAAACATAAACCTGTGGGAGAGGGAAGAGTTGGATACCTAGCGATGTGGCCAGGTACTTTGAAATGATCGCCATGGATCTGTGAGGTGGCAATTACCTACATTTTGTAGATGAGCTATGAAACCGTCCAGGGAGAGAACCACCTGTCCAAGACCCCACAGCTGACGGTTCCTGAGCTCATGTCTGAGTGCAGTGGGTCAGGCCTGCTTCTGAGCCCGGACCCCTGTTCTGACCCGCTGCCAATGACAGAACGCTTAGCATTTTCCCCGGATGCCCAATTGGTAACACAGGGCGCCTACCGCCCTGTAATGCCTCTGCCTCCCCTTCCCAGATCCCAGTTGGCAAATGGCTAGCAATGGACTCTGGAATGAAACGGGGGCTGCTCAGGATTAGGGGATGTGGGCTGGGCTGGGGGGGGGGGGTCAGCTTAGTCCGGATGGTGCAGGAAAGCCGTGGGGCTGGGCTGAGCTGAGCGGATGTCGCAGAAGTGGTGAGTGGGTGACTTGTACGTCCTCCTCCAGCTCAGGAGCAAGTCCAGTCAGTGGAACAGAATTGAACCTTTCTTTGATGATTCCGGATTTTGCAAGGCACTGAAACCACCCATGGATGCTTCGAACCGTCCATTATCCTGTTCTGAGCTGTGGCTAACGGTGTGAGGGGCCAGGGGATTGGGCTGACTCTGGACTCACAGTCTAGTGCACGGTTTGTTTTGTTTATTTGTTTTTCAATGAATCAGACCCACGAGATGCGACTTTCCTCCCCTCTGTTCTAAAGGTAGAATAAGCAAATGTGGACGCCAAAGACCCCACCTCCTTGCCTTAAATGTCCCTCTCCCCTTGCTCCTGGCTGCTCACTTGGCCCCGCTCTGGGGGCACCTCCTCTGGGAGAAGCTTTCCCAGACCCTCCAGACTGAGCTGGAGTTGCCCCCTTTCGGCAGCATTCCCAGTCCTAGGCTTTTGCTTGATGCATTGGATCCGTCTGCCTGCTCGTCTCCCCATTGAACTGAGCGCTGCTTGGGAGCAGGGGCCGTGTGTTCCTTAGCACCCTCAGTCCCAGCAGGCTGCAGGCCTCCGGTGGTCACTCAGCAAGCCTTTCCTGGAGGTATGAGTGCAGGAACCCTCTCAGGCTTGCTAAACCTCCATTCCGCACAGCGTTCCTATCATAACAACTAAAACAACAACAACACTAGGTAGCCAAGGTCAGCATGTAGGATTTTACTGCTAAGAATGGTTCTCGGGGGCTTACAATGGACTCTGGGGAGGGAAAAGGGAGGGAGACCATGCCCCGAGCCCAGTAAGGCGGGTCTCTTTTCCGCTTTGTCAGTCTCACGGCTGGAAGGGGTTCTGTGCTGTGGACAAGGTGCTGGGCTGGGAGTGCCCATCTGGGCTCGGCCTTCAGTCTGTGCTTTGCAGGAGCCAGGTTGGGGATGATCTGTTTTCGGGGAGGATAATTCTGCCCTAACACAGAGTGGTTTTTAGACTAAAGACAATGGTGTATATGAATGGAACTGGCCCGGCATCAGCCACTCAGTGTTCAGTAAAGGTCTCCGTCTCCTTGTCATGCGCACTGGCCACTGTGCTGCCTGGCATTGCCTCGGGACTCCCCTTCCTGGCCTGTTCGGCATTGCTGCTGGATTGGCATTGCACAAGCACCCCTGCCCTGTCCCCCTCTCCGTGGCCTGCTGGGTGTGTCCAGTCACTCACCTCTCCACAGACCAAGGGGGAAGCAAGCGCAAATACTACCCACTGGTTGTCTTTTCGTTTTGTTACAGCCATAGGTTTGACAAAATACACAGGGAATTCATACAGCTCAATAGTAAGAAAGCAAATAATATGATGAAACCAAACGCCAAAGGACCCAAATAGACATTTTTCCAAGAAGATACACACATGGTCAACAGGTGCCTGAAAAAGTACTCCCACTCACTAATCATCAGGGTGGTGAAAGTTAAAATCGCAGTGAAGTCCCGCCTCACACCTGTCAGAATGGCTGTCCAAGGGACAGAAGTTCAGTGCTGGCAAAGGTGGAGAGAGAAGGGAGCCCAGGGCAGTGCTGGTGCGGTTGTGAATTGGTGCAGCCAGTGTGGAAAGCAGGATTGGTTGAGCTGAACGCACTTCCTCTTTTTATATAATTTAAAACATTCTTTAGTTACAGTTGGCACACAGTATTATCTTAGTTTCAGGTATGTGACATAGCGGTTAGATATTTATGTGACTTGCCCTGTCAGAAGGCCTATCGTCAATAAACCAACAAATGACAACTGTTGGCGAGGATGCGGAGGAAAGGGAACGTATTGGTCCATGTGCTATTGAAGGGAATGCAAATTGGTGCAGCCCTATGGAGAGCAGTATGGAGGCTCCTCAAAAAATGAAAAAAGATCTCCCCTACCACCCAGCTACTCTCTTCTGAGCAGTTACCTGAAGAAACCCAAAGCTCTAGGTTCATTGCAGCGTTGTTTACTGCCTGATAAATGATCATGGACAGAAGATGTGGAATATATGCACAATGAACACACTTGCTTAGATTCATGGATTCTGTATAGTCCCTGCCTCAGGTACCTTGGGCTTTGTCCACAAACACACAGGAGAAAAGGCGCATTCATTTCAAGGCCACACATGCCGGGTCAAAGTGCAAACCTTGTGCCAGGCTCTGAGCCACAACGCTTCCCCTGTGGGGAGAGACTTAACGGAATTGACACAGTCCAGCAAATGCAAGACAGAGTGCAATGAGGAGCCGAGGCGAGCGGTCAGGGGAGGGCACTGGGAAGCCTCCTGCGTTGCGTCAGAAGAAGGATTTGGAGATGGTAAGACCGAAGTCAGCACCAAGGCTCAGGCCGCCTCTGGGTTTGCAGGTGTCACGATGCCAATCAGACCCCATCTACACTGTGGCCATGGAAGAGCTAGAGGAGGTTGCTTGGAATGTGTTCCCGAGAAAACAAACGGGGTTAGAACTCAGGACCAAGATGGCCTTTGTGTGTGGTCACCAGCCCAGGAGAGTAAAGGCCCAGGCGTTGGTCCATGGGGTGTGACATCCCAGGCTCTGCGTGGCTCCCTCCCCTGGGTTGA